CTGGTATTCCCGTACAATTTTAGCAACGAAGACAAGGGGTTTATGGTATTGCCTGTTGATGTTTTTGATGTGCAATTAGGAAGGATATGATTCACCGTGTCGTAAGATGGCAGCTCGCTAAAAGGCAGCAGGTATGAATATGAATATGATTCTCTACTAACCTTCTCGTTCTTACGTTGTATGCTTTTGTGTTGTTATTACAACTTATTTGTGTGTGCTTAATTCTTAGGGAACCCATTCGACCAAAAATCTCAGTGAAGTGAGTGGGACTGGTAGAAAGCCTTGGCCGCAAAAGGGTACTGGTCGAGCAAGGCATGGTACACTGCGGGGCCCACAGGTGAGAGCTCGTCTTTTGCTTATAAGGATCTTAATTTTTCTCTGCAATAGAGAGTTTGTACTTTGTTGTACTAGGTTAATGTTGTTATCAACAGTTTAGGGGCGGTTGTACCATGCATGGTCCAAGGCCACGTAGTCATGCTATCAAGCTAAACAAGAAGGTTCGTCGATTAGGGCTAAAGATTGCACTTTCAGCTCGTGCAGCAGAAGGCAAGGCAAGTACAGTCCAACGAACATATTTTAGTATTCCATTGGTATTGAACTAAATTTAAAAAAAATACAATGCTAATGTGCAGCTTATGATTTTCGATGATTTGGAGGTACCTTCACATAAGACAAAGAACATTGTCAACTACGCGAAGCAAATGGAGGATGCCAAGAAACTTCTGCTTGTTGATGGTGGTCCGTTAAACGAAAAGCTGAAGCTGGCTACTCAAAACGTACATTATGTCAATGTACTGCCTTCAATTGTAAGTCTCGTCCTTACTATATGAATATGCAGGAACCATGTGCGTCTGATTGTTTGTTTATTTAAGTTGATGTATTTGATTTTTGGTTATTGTATTTGTGTAACATTTTTAACTTTTTTATTTTGTTATAATGTTTTACAGGGTTTAAACGTTTATAGCATTCTGCTGCACGATACGCTGGTAATGTCACGTTCTGCTGTGAACGCAATAGTCGAAAGAATGCACACTCCAATCAGTCGGTAATGAACACTTCTCCATGCTGTAACCTGAGTTTTCTAGAACTTTGTGGAACAACCATAATTTTCGCACTTTTTTTTCCCATAATAACCTTTACTGAAAAAACGAAAAAAAATCTCAAACATGTCCTATGGCCTACAATAATTTCTTACAGGGAATGAAAGATAAGTTGCACTAATTTTTCCATGAATCCTAATAAACAAATACTGCTACCAATAGTTTGGATATATCGGAGGGACTGGGTATCGAATAATTCATTTATCTCTTTCTCATAATTTATTCGAAGAACGCGGCCATTACGCAAGGTTCTATTTTTTTATTTATTTGTTTTTTATGGGAAAAAGAAATTGCAAAAAAGCCTTTTGTTCTATAGTGTGTACATACATGGTGATGGTGTTTAAAGAGCATAGACAAATGGTGAGAAGATGCCATTGATGAAGGCTAAGTTGGGCCCCACACACACACACTTGCAATAATATTTTTTGTTCTTTTAGAGAGAGACTTTTTGTAGTTCGTTCATCCACTTTGGTTAAAGCTTAATGTTATGACTTAGAATCCAATGATCCATTTAATTTCTCCAAATACATAAGTTATTAAGTTAATTTAACAAACTGTACTTCATTGACTTGTTTATGAAATTTGTCATAATTATCCGGAAATAGTTAGGTATAAATTCAATCAAGTTTTTTGAGAGGGCAAATTACGGTCATTCCCTCGATGTATGCTTGAATTACGAAAAAAGTTCTTATATTAGAATAATTACAATCATCCTTTCAACTATGTGTTGTTTTACGAAAAAATCTCTCATTTAATAGATAAATTTGTAGCTGTAAAGTGGACGTGTAAGACAATACATTGTTTAGGGGTGTGTGAAATTATTCAAGCACGAGGAGATTTTTCGTAATTTGAACATACCTCAGGGGTAGACGTAATTTACTTTTTTCATTAGATAAAATATTTTTTATTTTTCCCCCATTCGGCACTGGTGTTGGAGTAAGGGGAAATTAAAAGATAGACGTGTAAATCAATATATAACTGAGAGGAAAACAATTTTAATTTATAATTTACAATTTTAATTTATAATTTAAATAATTTATCTTTTTGATAAGGTAAAACAATTTTAATTTATAATTTTTCATTATTATTTTTGGCCCATTCGGCGGTGGTGTTGGAGTAAGAGTTGAAAACAGGCACATCTGACAGGTATAGTCATAGAGGACATTTGGTACAAGGGATTTAGGAACACGTGACCCCATAATAATAATAATAATAATAATAATAATAATAATAATAATAATAATAATAATAATTAACGCAATCTGTAATATTTATTATTTTATTTTTAAAAAATATTATTTTCCTTTTTTCTGCAATGTTTTCTCTCTTTATTTTTGCTTTTTTCCATCCAAAATTTATTTTCATTTCCATCCCAATGAGAAAAAAAGCACGAAGAAAAAGCAAAACACACAAACAAAGCAATGTGCGCCGCTTGCAGCACACACAGACACACGTGGGTGTGTGTGTGCAGATGTATACATACATGCTGGTAGTGTATAATAAAGATTAAAGAGTCTACAAAATATTCGGTATAAATTATAAAATCAGTCAAGTATATATTAATGCCCATTTATTGTTCCAATTTCCAATATTGCCATCTAATTTGCTCTATAATGACTCTTAAGCTTGTATTTATTTTTTATATAAATATTTGATATGATATTTTAATTCACCATCCTAGATAATATACATATAATGTGACCATGGCTGATAATCTCTTAAATGACATCGCACTTTCATGCTCAGTTCGTTCGCCGCTCGCGAATTATAATTCATTTAGTCATCATATGTTATATACTACCAATCAATTGAAGGAAATGTAAGAAAAAATACAAAATATGTGTAATTCGAAAAAATCGAATCCGACCCTCCTCTACTTTCGATAGATTTTATAATTTTCTCATTTGTATTTTACTCCACTTATGGTAATTTTTCAAATTATCATTACATTCATTGAATTTCACCAAATGCAATATTACCGCTATGGATATTTTACATGTATATGTGATTATACGCAGATCTATATTACAAAATTATACCATATACTTCACTATAGGAACACATGACCCCATAATAATTAACACAATCTTTATCTTTTTCTTTTTCTTTTTATTGTAATTTTCCTTTTATTATTTATCTGCAGCAGTTTCATTTCCATGAAAAAAAATCATTTTTTCATTTCAATCCCATGACCCATCACTGGAAACTGCTGCGAGGAATCGGCTCATTGATTTGACCTTTTCATTTATACCCATTAATGAAAAATCGATAAATAAATAATAAAAAAAAAATATTGTTTTATTCTCCCATATAATGAATTTCATGGAATTTTCTGAGGGCATAGAATGTGGCCCTGTGGGGGATTATGATTTATTGGTGGGGTGATTTGAGTTAAATTAAAGATTACTGCCCTCCCACATTAATCCCTCTCCCACCCATCTCTCAATTTTCACACCACCACCACCCACCTCTTTCATTTCATTCCCCCATCTCATCTCTCCTCTCTCTCTCTCTCATCTTTTTTTTTTTTTTTCTTTAATTTACTCATCCACCCTCTATAATCTTCTGTAAGGTTTGAGTTTTGAGGTTTGTGCCCAATTTTTGTTTGTGAATTCTACTTGTCTGAAGAGGGGGGGTGGGGTGGGGTGCCGGTAGGGGGAGATTTCGATCATCTATCAAAGTTTTGCAATTTTGTTTCCTTGCAAGAAATAACATTTATTTTTTTGACTGATTTTGTTTGGCTGTTTACAGGTTTGGACTTTAGATCTATCGCTGCATCTGCTTCTATTTGGCTGGTATGATTCCTCTGATTGATTCTTTTATCTCTCTATTCATTTTGCTAATCTGATACTGTTCTTCCTGTTCTGTTTTTGGGTTAAAAATTTGATCTTTTTGGCTGGGTTTTTCTCATCGAGTTTAATTGTTTTATGGGATTCATCTCTTACCTTGTTTTTTCTTTTTATTTAATGGGTTTAGTATTTTTTTTTCTCATTTTATTTATTTTTTGATAAAAAAAAAGTTTAGGTGGCTTTATCTTAGAAGTATTTGTGGTTGATTGATGATTTGTATGTTTCAACTTTTTCCTTGTCTCTACAAAAGTTTACAATCTTTAAGTTGTTGCCTCTTGTTTTCGAAGGTCACTCGCCGTCACTGATACACGTTTTTTGGGTGCATACATATTTGCAGTGTGTAATTTGGTTGAAAATGAGTAAATCTTTGTCAAGGCTTGGTTTTTATTGTATGCTGTGTGTCCTAGCTCACCTTTCTTGTAGCACAAAATGAATGTTGAGTTGTCGAGATTTTTGCAAATACCAATTTTTCGTCATTGTGGTGGTTTTAGATCGAGTACTACATTAGTACATTATATAGTTTGTTCTTGTTAGTGGTCAAACCTTTTGGCTTTCATTTCACATAATTTAGAAACATGAATTATATTCCACAAGTTCAGACAAGGACATTGACACAAATGATTTGCCACTGCAGTAGTAGTTCTTTCATTTCAAAGTTTATGATATTGGTAAGAATTTTTATTCACTTTGAAGCTTGATGCTTACAGATTTGCTGAAGAACAAGATATTAGGATATTCGATAAATCCAGATTTAGTAACCCTAATGAAAGGGCACAGAGGTCTCGTAACTACCCTGCCCGAAAATTTTAGCTTCGATAATGGCTCTACGTCATCCGATGCTGCCATAGACACTCAAATGTCGTGGAACACCATGCAGACTTCGTCACAAAACCGTGTACCCGATTACCGAATATCATCTAACGAGGCCAATATGCAGTGGAGTTCGGGCGAAACTAGTTCTAGTGCTGGTTTTTCCTTGACAGAATCTCAATACGACCCATCGGATATTCCCTCATTGGACGGCGCTGATGTAAACACAAACATCAATCAGACAGCAAACACCCAATCTCTCCCTCAGGATCTCAACATGTGTTCAGAGTTTGGAAACAATGAGGATGAAGACTGCCACGTCATCGAACGGCCGAATACATCAACCGAGAAGATGCCATCGACCGAGAGTGA